TCAGACGAGACCGATCCAAATCCGATATAGTGCGTAATGCGTATACTATTCGGTGTTATTATTAAGCCCCACGAAAGCCACAAAAACATGATAAAGCACCATAAAGTTTCCGTGCACTATATTTCAAGTGTTCTGAAGCTTTTCCATAGTTTAATGTGAGGTACAGATGAATATTTAAGTCAAGCTGACGTAAACTCTTCTCTCCGCAGCGGCTGTCTGTCATCCTCCATTCAGCATTCAAACTGTGTGTCACGTTCGGTTATGACAGTCAAGACGATGAAACTCTCTCCAAGATGATTAAATGTTCCTAATGTTATACTTGATCTGTAAATAAAGATAAATGGTTTTGCATAAAAGGAATTTATCTTGCTGGAGTTTCGTGCTGTTTCTAAATCGTGTACATTTCTACAGGATTATCTGGTTAGATCACAAGACAAGTATACGCACTATATCGGATTTGGATCGGTCTCGTCTGACCGATACCCCGATCCAACAGAAAATGCCAGTATCGGAGCGATACCGATACCTAGTATCGGATCGGCGCACCCCTAATTGTTACAAACAATTTCTATTCTATATTCTATATTTCTATTCTATTTTCTATTCTTTCTACTGGTATGCTGTACATACACAAACCTTTTTTCAGTGGTTTTCCAAATGCAAAAAAACATTAAAGCATTTACTTATTATAAATACCAAAATACTGTCAGTCTAGTCTGCTGAACATCTTTTTGACCAAGATTTTGGGTTATGGTCATGTTTCATGCTTGTTTTGGCTGGTCCTTCATGCATGTTGTCACCAATACATTCGTTAAATTACCTAATTTTCAACAGTTAATCTTGCAGTTTAAAGGGCAATGACATTTGGTCACAAAATGCACAAGTTTGTTATCATTGATGTCCAAGATGTTTGATTTCTGAGCAACAATGAGGAAGACCACCTTTTTTAACTGGTGCCACCTTGCATCCCTGTTATCGATTGTATTGAAAATGGAAGATTTCCGTAAAACCCTACAGAGTTTATTTTTCGATTAGAAACCAACTGGCTGTACATTATCATCCCATACAAAATGGCTTAAATTTCAGTGGGTTGCTGACACAACGATATTGCATGGCTTCAGATATGGTCACTACAGTGTCGTTTTGGATATACTGTTCTTTTAAGCATCCAAATGGATGTTCTCTAGGTTTTTTTTCCCCCATCATCATTTGTCCTTTATTTGATTAAGCTCCTCACTGTAATAGCACTGTGATTAGACCTTTAAAACTGAGCCATGCAGTCTTGAAAGGATTTGAGGTCTCCTGTTCCTCAGTTTGCATGTGTTGCTGTAAATACAGTGCTGAGAACAGTGCACTGTCCCCGGTAAAGGTCGCTCGTGTCCTCTGGGACTGATTTCAGAATGGAAATCCAGTGTACTTCGCTGTGAGCCCTACTAAATAGACAAGAGGAAAATGTCAGCACTGTTTCAGCATCACAAAGTGTCTTGCTGTTTCCAAATGAGCAGCTGCTCACAGTGCACTCCTAAATAGACGACTAACATGGAGCATTTCAAATTTGTGAATGAATGAGTCGATTTGAAAGGACATCGAACAGCTAAGCTATTTCATTTCAAAACTAGAATTGACTTAGTCGACTAAAACACCCATTGTCTTGAGCTTTTAGCAAATGGTCAGAAAACTTGAGTGAGCTTTCACATTTCAGGCATTTAAAATAAATACAAAGTATACTTATTTGTACACTACAGAACGCTGATATAAAAAAAAAAATTAATAAAAAAATTAAACATCGATTAAACATTAAAACAAACATTAAGAGTGAGTTGGGAGGCTTTTCATTGAATCTTAAGTTAATAAATGAGAATGCAATAGTTACTTAGTATTAGCAATTCCAGACAGCCACTTAAAATAACTGTTTATATATTTTAAAATGTATTTTATTTTAATAATTACTCCAGTCTTCAGTGTCACATGATCTTTCAGAAATCAATCAATTTGCTGAAATGTTGAAAACCATTGTGCTGCTAACTATTTTAAGTTTTTACAGATTGTTCTATCTAAATGTGTTGGTTTTCTTAAACAGATGGACCTTGTGGGTAACAAAAACATTGTTGGTTTTATGGACTCCAGCATCACAGCAGTAGGTTCAGGAGATGTTTGGGAAGTTCTCATATTGATGGACTTCTGTCGAGGTCAGTATGTGTTCCTCTCTTTAAGATGGTATGCCATTTGAGATTCAGAGCCTTTTCCCACTAGTTTTGGTGGTCTTGACCTACTATGCAATGTTTGTGTGTAATAACCCAGGTGGGCAGGTTGTGAACCTGATGAACCAGCGTTTGCAGACTGGATTCAGTGAGATGGAGGTGCTGCAGATCTTCTGTGACACATGTGAAGCTGTCGCTCGACTACATCATTGCAAAACTCCCATCATCCACCGGGACCTTAAAGTATGAGCTCTTATTATTTTAAGAAATGGTTAACCCCAAAAAAAAAATTAAAAAAAATGACTCAGTCATTTAGTCACTTCTATGTTGTTCCAAACCTATATAACTTTCATTTTTGAAACACACAAAAGGAGAAGAATTTTTGCACTGTTTTCTTTTCCATTCAACTAAAGCATACAGAAACCTATGGAAGGCCGTTTTCGCCACTGAATAAAAAAAAAAGAAAAAAAAAATTCAACTTTTTATCTCACAATTCTGACTTTTTTCTTAGAATTACATGCCATAAACTTGCAATTGCGAGTTAAGTCAGAATTGTGTGATATAAACTTGCAGTTGCAAGAAAAAAGTCAGAATTGCAAGATTTAAACTCGTAATTCTGAGAAAGTCGCAATTCTGACTTTATTTTTCGAGTTTATATCAGTTGTGACTTTTTTTTTTCTCTCAGAATTTTTAGTTTATATCTTGCAATTCTGACTTTATAACACGCATTTGTGACTTATAAAGTCAGAATTGTGAGATATAAACTCGTAATTGTAAGAAAACAGTCTTCTTTTCTTTAGAATTGGACCTTATAACTCACAATTGTGAGTTTATATCTCACAATTCTGAGAAAAGAAGTCAGAATTGGGAGATATAAATTTGCAAGTGCGAAGAAGTCAGAATTTGCGAGTTATAAAGTCAGAGTTGCGAGAAACAAAACTCAGATATCTTGCAATTCTGTTTTTATAACTTTCAATTGCATCTTTATATCACACAGTTCTGAGAAATAAAATTAGAATTGTGAGAGATAAACTCGCAATTGCAAGGAAAAAGTCAAAATTGTGAGAGAAAAATGAGCAATTACCTTTTTACATTTGTTTAATTCAGTGGCGGAAACGGGCTTCCATAGAAACCAGTGTTTGTCAAGCTTCAAAAAGATGTTGCCATTGAGTCCAACCTGGTGTGACTTGTCTTAATGCCCAAAATGACAATATTTGAAAATTTATTGAGTGAACTATTCCTTTAATAAATGACTTTTTGCTTATTGTGTTTGTACCCTTTTACAATTTGTCTCATCTTAGAGCTCAGTTGTGATGTTTAGAAAACTATTTCAATTCAGCTTTACAAAAACTAGGGCATGACCTACTGTATTACACATGTGTGTCCTCTCTTTGTGTCTCTTTTAGGTGGAGAACATCTTGCTGCACGACAGAGGACATTATGTGTTGTGTGATTTTGGCAGTGCCATTAACCGCTCCCAGAATCCACAAACAGAAGGTGTGGCGGCTGTAGAAGAAGAAATCAAGAAGTGAGCATTGTTTTTTTTTTATATTATACACCACAGTGTTACGTTTTCATATCAGTTGAATCTAATACTCTGTGTGTGTTAAGGTACACTACTCTTTCATACCGGGCCCCAGAAATGGTGAATCTATATGGGGGCAAAGTTATCACTACTAAAGCAGATATATGGGTGAGTCAAAGAGGTGAAGACTGCTAGAGAATAATTCCGTTAGCGACAATAGCAGTGTGTTTCAGTAGAAGCCAAAGCTTTTGTCTCTGTAGTTGATTATTGGTGAATATGCATATCATTTTGAAACATCACAAAGGAGGTTTGATGACTCTTGCTCATTTGTGTCCTCAGGCTTTGGGCTGCTTGTTGTATAAGTTGTGTTATTTCACTTTGCCGTTTGGAGAGAGTCAGGTGGCCATCTGTGACGGCAGCTTCACCATCCCTGACAACTCCCGCTACTCGCACGACATGCACTGTCTCATCCGTAAGTCCAGCTGATGATTGCTTGTCTGTCATGCAGAATATGGCATTCATACAGTATGTGCTTTACAAGTACTAATAAACAGCCAATATGCTAGTAATATGCATGCTAATAAGCAACTAGTTAATAGTGTTAATAGTTCATAATATAATAAATCACTAATTATATAATAATAGTTAATAGTGTTAATAGCAGTTAATAGTGTTCCCTAATCAAAAGTGTTACCATATTTTCAAAATACGTTGCATACAGCTCGACTGTAAATATTGTCCAACTCCGAAAAATATTCTGTTCACATGTGTAAATTTATGTTTTAATAAAAGCATTATTAGGGACAAAACTGTTGGTGGAACAACTAAGTACAGTCGTCATTTTTGAAAAATATTATTTTTCACACATTAAATATTAAAGTAGTTTGTTTTTCACTCTTTGTTTAGATTACCATAGATTTAAATGTTTTTAGTGTGTGTGTGTGTGTGTGTGTGTGTATATATATATATATATATATATAAATATATATAATGCACTCTACTGTTCAAAGGTTTGGGATCAGTACAATTATTATTTTTTTATTGTTCCTAAAGGATTAAAGCTAAAGCGTTAAATTAATCAAAAGTGACAGTGAAGACATTTATAATGTTACAAAAATGTTCTATTTCAAATAAGTGCTGTTGTTTTGAGCAATATTTATCCTGAAAAAAATGCTGCAGTTTCCACAAAAAAATATTAACGTAACTAGTAATAGCAATGTAACTCTTTCCAACATGGATAATGATAAAAATTGTTTATTGAGCACCAAATCAGCATAGTAAAATGATTTGTGAAGGATCATGTGACACTGAAGACTGGAGTAATGATGCTGAAAATGATTGTAAATGAATGATTTAAAACATATTAAAATAGAGAAGGCTATTTTAAATTGGAATAATATTTCACAATATTGCTGTTTACACTGTATTTATTGTACTGTTTATATCAAGTAAATGCAGCTTGCCTTGGCGGGCATAAGAGACTTCTTTCAAAAATATTGAACTCCAAAAATTAAACATTTATAGTGTATTATGAGCAAGGAATAATTGACAATGGGCCATTGAATTATTAGAAAATAATGCACACCTGAGCTGGTAATATATGTTTTTTTTTTTTTTATTACCATCATATAACAAAAAAAAGGGGGAATAAAAACGTTTTTTATTTTAATAAAATACATTTTCATTCTCTGGGACAATAAAAAATATTTTTTTTCAAGATTTAGCAAAACTATTTTTCACCTGTACACTTTTGTGTTTTGATTTGTTTAATTTCTCCTGTCTCAGGTTACATGCTGGAGCCAGACCCTGACATAAGGCCAGATATCTACCAGGTGTCATATTTCGCCTTTAAACTGGCACGGAAAGAATGCCCAGTACAGAATATCCACGTAAGACCTGCTCATTCATACTCTCTCGCTATTTCCTGTGCTATAACTACACCAGCTTCCATGCGCATTTGCCCTGATCTACTCTCCTGTTTTCCTGTCACACTCTACAGGGTTTTTGTTCTTTATTCCAGCACATACTTCTTCATCTATGTTTAATTCATGCCTATCCCTTTCAGTAGATATCGTAAGTGCTTGCACAGGAAGTGGATTGTCGCTCGTGGCTGCCAGCTGGCACACATCCAGTAGCCCCTCCCACTCTGAGCAGTATTGATAGCATAATGGAAGCATTGAGTCATGATCAAAGACATATTAACATTGACACCCGCAAATGCTGTTTAGAGTTCAATACAGGAATGACCTCTGTAAAAACTTTGACCGTTTTTCCTGACGTAGGGATGTTTGGTTCAGACTGCGTCTACAAATAAATATCATAGCCAATGACGTGTTTTCATTACACATTTGTGTTTTTGCCAACAACATGCATATCTTTTGTTGTTGAGGATGTCATCTTCACTTATTTTTGCACATCCATGGAAATTAAATTACGCACTTAAGAATAATGATTTCATAGGATGTGACACTAGCAAAAATGTGGTATGAAACCATCTCTATGCTCAACTCTAGTAAATAACTTAATAAAATAAAATTTACATTTACATGCAGACGCTTTTATCCAAAGTGACTTACAATTGGGGAATACATAAAGCGATTCTTCTGTAAATGAATGATTTAAAACATATTAAAATAGAGAAGGCTATTTTAAATTGGAATAATATTTCACAATATTGCTGTTTACACTGTATTTATTGTACTGTTTATATCAAGTAAATGCAGCTTGCCTTGGCGGGCATAAGAGACTTCTTTCAAAAATATTGAACTCCAAAAATTAAACATTTATAGTGTATTATGAGCAAGGAATAATTGACAATGGGCCATTGAATTATTAGAAAATAATGCACACCTGAGCTGGTAATATATGTATTTTTTTTTTAAATTACCATCATATAACAAAAAAAAGGGGGAATAAAAACGTTTTTTATTTTAATAAAATACATTTTCATTCTCTGGGACAATAAAAAATATTTTTTTTCAAGATTTAGCAAAACTATTTTTCACCTGTACACTTTTGTGTTTTGATTTGTTTAATTTCTCCTGTCTCAGGTTACATGCTGGAGCCAGACCCTGACATAAGGCCAGATATCTACCAGGTGTCATATTTCGCCTTTAAACTGGCACGGAAAGAATGCCCAGTACAGAATATCCACGTAAGACCTGCTCATTCATACTCTTACTTCTGCCTCAGTGAGGGACAGAAGGAGAAGATGGGAGTTTTAGCAGTGGGTATGGTTGGTTTGAGGTCCTGTGTGTGTGGGGCTGAGAACTGACTACTGATTGTTCTAGTTTTGTCTGTGAAGAATGTGGCGAAATCATCAGCTGCTATAGAAGTGGTGGAGGGGAACAGAGGAGAGAATTGAATGTTTTGAAGAGAATTCAATGTTTTAAATTAATTAATTAATTTAAAAACAAACTTTGAAGTCCACCTGAAATAAAAAATGACAAATCTACTTTCTTCATGTTACTGGTCTTCATGCACAATAAATTGGTGTGTGTTATTCAGTGTTGTTTTAGACGTATTTATATACTGTTACAGTATTTATTAATGTTATGGATTCACTTTCATTTTTATATTTTCCGTTTTCATTTTAGTTCAAGTTTTGTTAGGTGCTTTTGTCGTTTTTATTAGTCTTTTTACTTTATTTGTAATTCTAGCAATTTTACACATTTTTATTTTCAGTTCATTTTATTTATTTACACAGTTTTTTTTATTTTCACCGTAATTTTAATTAACTAAAATTATTTAAGTAATTTTAAACATTTTATTTCAGTTAGTTGCCAAGATAATATTTGTAATTTGTATTTGAATTTAAGTGTAAGTTTTTTCTAATATTTATATTTAATTGTATTCCAGCTTTATTTGAATTAACTAAACGATTTGTGTGTTTGTGTGTGTGTTGAATTTCCTGTTTCACTGGAATGATTTGCAGATGTTTCATGTTGGATAAAGACAACCAAATACAAAATGTAACCAGTGTTGGGTGTAACTAGTTACTAAGTAATTAGTTACTGTAATTTAATTACTTTTCCCTTGAAAAAAAGTGGGAGTACTCTTATTTTTTCTGTAATTTAATTACAGTCACTTATGTAATTGAACGTAATACTGTGTATAGACTGTAGAACATTTATATGCAATACAATACAATAGTATATTTAACATCAAAATTTAAAGTCTAACCTTAAAATACATGCTTTTTATGTAACCTTCTCACTTTAAATACTTTGGTGAGTTAATAAGAAAAATGTAAAGTCTAACCTTAAAATGCATGCTTTTTATGTAATATAATTGTAACATTAAGTCCAAGTGAGATGAAAAGAGTTCACACACAGCTCAAATAAAACACGGTTTATTAGAGAAAACTAAAGAAGGTAATCCAAATAACAAGCAAACAGTGAGCAAAGCACAAACGATACTGGACAAGGAATTGAAGGCCTTAAATACACTGAAGCAAATTAGATAATTAACTAAACAAGAGGCAAACAAATTGAGCAATTAAACGGAAAGAGAAAGTAGGTCTAGAGGCAAAACAAGGAAGACAGAACCCAAACACAATGAAAACACGATTAAAATGGAACACAAGTATAACAATAAATAGTAATAATATTCCGCTTATTCCATTAGAACTCACTCATTCCAGCAAAACTCCCAGAGACAATCAGAGCCAGTGAAGCCGTGGCCAAGAAGAGTCAAAACAAAGCCAGGTGAGACTATTTATCAGTGTGGTCTCCGATGTTTGAAGTCACGTTATGTTTTATTATGTACTTTTTCTTTAGTTTTAGGATGCATATCGTGTTTTATATAGTCGTCGTTTTGATTCGACTTGAACTTTTCTTGTCATTCAGGCTCACTGATCCAGTCCCTACGACTGAGACATCCATAGCACCACGGCAGCGTCCCAAGGCTGGCCAGGCTCAACCAGTCGCAAGCATCCTGCCCATCCAACCAGCCCTCACCCCTCGTAAAAGAGCCAGTGCACCTGCAGGACCCGGCCAGCCAATCAGTGAGTGTTCATTATTCACCTTCATCCAAAATCAAACACTATGTAGGTGTCCTCATATGTGTGGCTTCAGTCTTTCATGCTCACTCTCTTTTTTCACTGACGACTCTTCACACGTTGCATGTGTCTTTGGCTGACACACACGGCTCCCACTGGTTCAATCAGTGTGTCATTACAGAGAGCTTTTAAAACCTCACTAATGAGCCTGAGCTATTGAGCCCCTGACACACTCAATCCTACCGAGCTGTCATTTCACTTCCTATTTCTGAAGTCAATGCTAATTAAAGCCCTACATGTCTCATTGATAATGAATATCCCGGTGTATTGTTATCTTCCTGTAATGTTTTAGCACCGGATTATCTGGGTCAGGATAGTAACACTATGTCTTAATTTAGGATGACAAGTTTGTAAGTCGCTTTGGATAAAAGCGTCTGCTAAATGACTAAATGAAAATGTTTTATCAAGCAATTTACCACTGAAAATGTAAATACTATATTTTTTATATATAGCAATGTGAAGCTGGATTTTGGACCAGTTTGATTTTTGTGGGTGGGGCTTTCCAGCACGGTTATGAATGTTAACATGTAAACCCTAACCACAATTTCAAAAGTTTGGGGTCAGTAATTATACTTTTTTTTTAAAGAAATGAATACTTTTATTTATCAAGGATTTCACTTGATCAAAAATGACAATAAAGATATTTATAATGCTACAAAACATTTTAATTTTAAACAAATACTGTTCTTTTTCTATTCAAAAGATCCTGAAAAAATGGATCCGTTTCTACAAAAATATTAAGCAGCACAACAGTTTTCAACATTGATAATAAGAAATGTTTTTTAATAAGAAGAAAAGATTTGCCATCGTATGGATAAATTACATTTTAAAATATATTCAAAATTTTTTTATAATATTTCACAGTCTTAGTTTTTTCTGTATTTTTGATGAAATGTGGCTATGGTGCATATTCAAAATGTATATTTATGTATATTCAAAATATGTTGATCCTACAGTAACTCATTGATTAAATTACTGCGTAGAATTACTGAAAACGCAGAATAATAGCTAATAGCTAGTAGGAAATTAACATACATCTTTATGTTTAAGTTTATTCAAAATAAGCTGACTTACTATGTATATAGGCATATTCTAATAGCTGTGGACTAGGAATGTTTGACGTATACTGAATAGATTTTGCTGGAAAAAAAAACATTAAGGGACATTATAAATATTGAGATAGATTTAACTGTTTTTCACTGAATTTGACCCTGAATATGACATACATTGTTAAAGGGGTCATATGATGCTGCTAAAAAGAACATTATTTTGTGTATTTGGTGTAATGAAATGTGTTTATGCGGTTTAAGGTTAAAAAACACATTATTTTCCACATACTGTACATTATTGTTTCTCCTCCCTCATTCAAGTTAAATCGTGACCATGATTTAACTTAATTTAAACAAACAAATTTTTAATTGTGGCCATGATTTCAGGTTTTTTTTTCCCCACATGTCATGTGTGGGCTCTGTAGTCATTGGACTAGTTTCGCGACTCTTCCTTGTCTCGTGGTTTGCAAGTATAAGAGTGGGGATTTTAGCGGCCTGTTTTTTAACGTTGTGTTTTTATTGTGTTTTCTATTGGTTCACAGGTGTTAACAGTGCTTCCCAGCCTGTTTCCCAATCACAGGTTCCTGTCGCTCAGCAACAAGCCACGCCCACTCCAATGCAGGCCACTCCCTCTCCACCCCAGACCACACCCCAACATGCACAACTTTTTGTGCAGCAGCAAAACACAGCCTTCTTTACTGCTCAACAACAGGTAACTGCTACATGAACCATTCTGGAAATACTTTAAAAAAAAATATATATATAGAATTTAGAGTAAACATGAAATAAGATTTGACCTTATTTACTTTCTTAAAGGGGTCATATGATGTTGCTAAAAAGAACATTATTTTGTGTATTTGGTGTAATGAAATGTGTTTATGCGGTTTAAGGTTCAAAAAACATTATTTTCCACATACTGTACATTATTGTTTCTCCTCTATCTATCGCCTTTCTGAAACGCGTCGATTTTTACAAAACTCATCGGTCTGAAAAACGAGGTGTGCTCTGATTGGCCAGCTATGAACATTTGGGCGGTGTTATGCAAATCTTCCCACATCGTGACGTAGACATGTGGGGGCGTGTTAGAACGAGGCGTTTTAGGAGGAATTGGACGAGTCTTAACTTTTATAAAGAATATCTCTTTGGGTTTGAGACTTTAGTCTTTGCAACTTGAGGGATCTTATCTATTCACGAACAGCTTGTAACACTCCAAAGAGAAAGGAAAACTTGAAATCGCATCATATGACCCCTTTAATACATGTCTTACTGTGAACGATAGTCTGATTCTGACATTGAACACTCACTTTTCATGACCCAATCAAATCCAGATAGATGAATACTCTATTTTATTTGAATATGTCACATTATGGAAATAAAATGTGTTGTGAATGATTTTTCATGTGGATTTAAAATAAATCATCTGGGAAATTCTTTGTGAATTTATAAATGGAAATTTTAATTATTGTGATCTCAATTGTTGCACCTACCTCCTTTAGCAGCAGCACTCAACACAGACCTCCGTCTTACCTGCACAAACGGTTGCATCATCCTCCACCCCTGTTTCTACACAGTCTAAACCTAAGAACAGGGCACCCCCTCCACCCATACACCACCCTCAAACCAACCGCCTCACAACATTATCAGCAACCACACAGACAAAAACCAAAGCAACGGCCCCAGTCCCGCCTACAGAGTGTTCACATAGTAATAGTGTAGATGGAGATATCACTGCGACCGTGTCTGCCCAACCTAAAACCAAAGCTATGGCACCTCCACCCCCCACATCACACGCCTCCACCCTTCCTCCACCTAAAACCACCTCGGCACCATCCGCTGACTCTGAAGTGGACCCAGAGCAGAGGGTAACCCTCCCAACATCTGTGTCTGCTCTGTTAGAGTGATTTTCCTTGCTTCCTAAAGCCTTGATCCTCCCCTTGGTGGCTTGTCTTGCAAGTTAAAGGGATAGTTTACTCACAAATTAAAATTAAATGAGTAAATGACTATCCATTCTTGTAACTTAATGTTTTTTTTGTGCAGTTTTTGCAAATTGTTTCTAAGAATTAACATTATGAAATCAGTAGGTGTTGACAGTTACTGTATATTATGCCTGCAGCTGCAGAGCAAGGTGTCATGTACAACACAAGTGGAGGTGTTCTATCTAATAGCCATATTGAATTTTACGTGGATGAAAATGAGGCTGTGGATATATATATAGACATATAGGATCAGTAATTTTCAAAATGCACAACTTGAAAACTTTTTAATGGAGGTTTTGTCTACTGAAAGTTTTTTGGAAAGATGATTTGTCATCTGAACAATTGGCATGTTGTTAAACAACAGTATTCATTCCTCGTTTTCATTCCTGTCAAAAATGTAAAAAGCCGCTACCCTGGTCATGACACATCTTTAAAAACCTCATGTTGTTCCAAAGCCATATCATCTGTGTTGTTCTTCTATAAAATACAAAAGGATAAGTTGAGCTGAATGTTCACACTGCCAATAAAGTAAAGGTATATTTCAGTTTCAGAAGTCATATGATAGCTTTGTGTGATAAACATGCAAATATTTAAAATTACATGCTCTGCCCAAGTTTAATTGTATGTCCATGTATTTAAATATATGACATTATTGTCCTATATATATATATATATATATATATAATATATATATGCTTTCAGCACAATGCTGTTTGTTCCAATGTGCAAAGTTTGGCTATGCACCAGCAAAAAGTGGATTTGAGGGCAATGACAGAGGATGTGATTTTCAATGAATAATGACTTGCATTTCGGTCTTTTCTTCACTGAAATCCTGTGGCTTTATGGTGTTTTTGTCATTTTTGTAGCTCAGCAGGAGGTCTATAATCACTTCCATTGTATGGAGACAAGAACCCAGGAAAATATGTGAAAAAGAAGATTTTATGGATTTGGAGTGACATGAGGGCGAATACATTAAAGTTTCTAACAGATAAGATTTTTCTATTAAAATGAATAGAAAGGACTTGATTCATCTGACAACAGACATTTCACCTTTCAAACCTTTTAGATATTTTCTCATTTCACACATCAGCTTTTTTCAAAAAGTCATTGAGATATCAGATTTGTCTTTTTTGTACATCTGAAGCTCTCTTTCTTCACCTTTCAAAGACCAACCTCTTTTCTACAGAATGTCTCTTTTGGTATATCAGAAATTAAATTCTCTAATAAATATCCTTCAGTCTTTAATGTTGTCTCTATACCTTTCTTTCTGTAAAAGTCTGTCGGCGGAAGTCGTGGGGTGCATAAAGTCTGCTCCTTGACTCCACCCTCTTCTCCCAAGACCGCCCCTAAAGGAGGCCACAGGCGAATTCTGAGCGATATCACACACAGCACCATATTTGGAGTTCCTGTGAGCAAGTCCACTCAACTGCTTCAAGCTGCTGCTGCAGAGGCCAGCCTCAACAAGTCCAAGTAAATCAAGCAAATACGTAATCATTTACAGTTTAGTTTTAACCATTGTCCAGCATTGAGTAAAGATGAAAATAAAGGTTGTATTGGAGTAAGATTGGTACTACATCTAGCTAACTGAGTAGCAAAGTGGCAACATTAGGACTATTTAAAGTGTCACATCATGCAAAACAATTTGTTTTTCTTGGTCTTGCTATATGTAGAAATTGGATATGTTCAGAATAACATTCTGCTAAATGCAGTGTGCTCGTTTTAAACCTTCATTTCCAGTATGACGAATCAACTTGAAGTAATTCAAGCAACGGTTTTTAACATCTGGATCTTCTATGCTGAATAGGTCTCAGGTGGTCTAGCTGGCATGCCAGCCTGGCACTCAACTGGTTTTCCTGAAAAGTGCCCAAAACCCCTTCTAAGACCAGCCAATATCCCAGACTCGCCAAACTGGCAGTCAGCTAAAACTAGAAAACCATCTACGGCTGTTTTAAGCTGTTTAATTGCTCATTCTTTCAGCAGGGTTTCTTCATTATATTTGGTTTGCTAAAGGTTTAAGGCTCGACACACCAAGCCGACATCAAATAACTTAATGTTCACAAAAACCAGCTGTGTTGTCACCTGTGTCAAAAATTTGCACATTTGGACACATTGCAAAGACTAGCCAACAGCCAAAAAGCATACGTTTTGCACCTGCATGAGAGAAAATACTGTAACTCTCCAGACCAGCAGGTGGCAGTAGTTTATATTCTGCCTTTAAAATGGGAAACAGAAACTAGGACTGGGTGGGTGCTTGCTTACCATTTTGAATATGAATCTTGATCAGTTGGTCTTCACTTTCTACATTCCAAACAGCCATGTCTTCATGAAAATATTCACACATTGGAATGGTGAGATCAATTGAAGGTGTACAATTAGAAGAACCATCTATGTTTGCACTGTAATTTTTTGTATTGTTTGCTTGCTTCCACCCCTTTCGTTTTTTCTTCTTATGCACTGGTTCACTAAGCTGAACAGCCAGTCAGAGTGATCTCTCTTACTGACCACCCAATGGCCATTCAACATGCTCAATCGGCCAAAAAGCCTCCAATCGTGGTCCAACTAGTGCCAACGTTTTGGAACACACTGGGAAAACAGGTCTGAAAGACACTCAACGATGGCCTGACTTTGGCCAACTGCCAACTGTCAGCTTAGTTTGTCACAGCCTTGGAGTTTTATGCAAAAATCGTATTGAAAATGCAAATAGTTTATATTTCAAAGATGATAACTCGACACCACTAGCATGCAACATGCTGAGGTCGTGTGAGAACACTGAAGTGGAACTTTTTGAAGCATTGCTATTTTTCTCTCTCTGCTGTAGGTCAGCTAGCACCACTCCCTCTGGTTCTCCATGTTCATCACAGCAGAGTGTTTATCAGTCAGGGGAGGCTTCGGGACCCTTGCCTGGAGCCCCTGCATCCTGGAACCCCTTTGGCGATGACAATTTCTGTAAACTCACAGCAGAAGAGCTGCTCAACAAGGATTTTGCCAAACTGGATGGTAAAACCAATGTTTATATATGAAATCAAGTTTTCCAAGTTATTTTTAGCACAGTATTTCTTTTAGTTGCCCAAACAACCCTCTACAGAGAGATTACAGATACACTGTGTATGTGTGTGTATCTTTGCAGCTAAGACAGCCGAGAGATCCTGCCCTGAAAATCTGATTTCTGGGTTGCAGTCTGTGTCTTCAAATAAAGGCTTTCTCCAGGGAGGAGGTACAGTCTATTTATCTCTCTATGTGACTCTTTCTATGTCTCTTCCAATGCTTGCTGGGAATCTGGTAATGCTTAAGACACAACCGCAATGCAAAATTAGCTTTTTTTCCACTTTCAAAGCAATGAATGCTGTAAACTTGTACTGAACCTGGAACAGTTTCAACCAATGGGTGCTGGTGGATTTTCAGAAAGGGGGATAGTCCTTCATATTTTACTGCAAACTCTGGAATGGAATGCCAGTTTTTCCACAATCCATATAATTCCCAATGGCTCACGTCCCACCCTGCATTTTTATCTTGAATATCCTGTTTCACCCAGAAACATACCAGAAGTAAAATGGGTTGTGAATGTTGATTCATGACTTTCAAACACTGTTTTTTTCAGTGACTTTAAAAAGCAGTTAATGTACTTGACCTCCTCGAGCCTTCCAGAAATAAAGTAACTTGTGCATCTCACCTGCTGGCAGCCTTGCAATAAGCCTTTCCTTTTCCTATTTATAGAGATAAAGACAGATAGGGCACTCTACTTCCACCTGCTTTCTTGGAAACATCGTGGATAAACACTGGTGGCAGTAATCAGATGCAGTTAAAGGGTAAACTTTGATCAAGACTGTTTTTAGGTGATTGAGACCTTTTATAGTTTCTCTTCACAGTAATTTGTAAATTCTTCTTTCGATTAAGCTTTTTCAGTACACTCTTAAAAATAAAGGTGCTTCAAAAGGTTCTTCAAGCGATTCCATAGAAGAACCATTTTTGGTTCCACAAAGAACCATTCAGTCAAAGGTTCTTCAAAGAACCATCTCTTTCTTACCTTTTTATAATCTGAAGAAACTGCTTTCGCCACAAAGAATCTTTTGTGAAACTGAAAGGTTCTTCAGATGTTAAAGGTTCTTTATGAAACCATTTAGACAAAAATGTTCTTCTATAGCATCATGAAGCACCTTTATTTTTAAGAGTGTATTGCTCAAAACTAAGGTTAGGGATTTAGACCAACTTTGGTGAGTAACTCATCCTTTAGCGCCAGCTATGCTACTGACATTAATGATACATGAAAGGTTAAGGCTTGTTGAGAAGAGCTGTGCTATTTCAAAATTAAAATCTCCTAGAATTATATAGGAGGAACCTGAGCCATATTCAGAGACCAGAACATCATAATGCAGGAGTGTCCTGCTCCTGGAGAGCCCCCTTTCTGCAGAAGTTAGCTCCAACACACTTGTCTGGAAGTTTCTAGTGATCTTGAAGACCTTGATGAGCTGGTTGAAGTGTGTTTAACTAGGGCTGGAGCTAAATTCTGCTGGATGGTGGCCCTGGAGGAACAGGATTGGACACCCTTGTCATAGAGATTTGGGGCTGGGTTCTTTTGACATTGGTCAGTAAGCAACTGTCTAGCAACCTCTCAGGGATAGTTCACCCAAAGATGAAAATTCTGTCATCATTCTTACCCTCGTGTCATTCCAAACACACTTTTGTTAATCTCTGAACCCAGTGTTAATTTCGACAAATAATTTTCGTCATAAATTTTTTTTCACAGACGAAAACGAGACGATAACAAACTAAAACTCGTTTTGAATGGCAAAAACTATAACGGAAATCGTTTCTATAAAAACGAGACGATAATGTTAGGGGGCATGATTTGAGAAGAGATTCATTCAGAATGAATCTACTGCGTGGTTAGGAGGTTAGATGCGTAGTTGCGTACATATGAACCGGCGGGACATAAGCTAACATACCATTGCTGCATGCCTCATAAAACGTAAAAAAATTTCAATATGTGGGAGTAAGAGAAGAGCAGACATATGGATACATTTTACGATGCAAGAGAGAACTGAATTCGGTCTGGTTTTCGGAGCGCAGACACTGAAGCATACACACACAGAAAGTGCGTCTCACACAGCGCGCGAGTACTCTTTCACGTCGCATGAACGGAGAATTACACACAAAATTATGTCGAATTGTCCGTTTTGATGAGTATTCACATAAACACAATCGATTTCATCTTAAGTGAACGTGAACAGTAGGGAGAAAGTGTTTATTAGAAGTGGTATTATTTAATTTTAACATAAAGGCATGTTGTGTGTCACCGCAGTTAAATCGGTGTCTATCATGATAAAACCTTAATATCAAACCTATATAATGAGTTTGGAAATTTTAGAGAAATGTTTAATAAATGCACTACACTGTAACTAAACCCATTAGATTTTAGTAATTTCGACAAATAATTTTCGTCATAAATTTTTTTTCACAGACGAAAACGAGACGATAACAAACTAAAACTCGTTTTGAATGGCAAAAACTATAACGGAAATCTATTGACACTTTTGTCAACGAATAAAAACGAGACGATAATGTTAGGGGGCATGATTTGAGAAGAGATTCATTCAGAATGAATCTACTGCGTGGTTAGGAGGTTAGATGCGTAGTTGCGTACATATGAACCGGCGGGACATAAGCTAACATACACTTGCTGCATGCCTCATAAAACGTAAAAAAATTTCAATATGTGGGAGTAAGAGAAGAGCAGACATATGGATACATTTTACGATGCAAGAGAGAACTGAATTCGGTCTGGTTTTCGGAGCGCAGACACTGAAGCATACACACACAGAAAGTGCGTCTCTCACAGCGCGCGAGTACTCTTTCACGTCGCATGAACGGAGAATTACACACAAAATTATGTCGAATTGTCCGTTTTGATGAGTATTCACATAAACACAATCGATTTCATCTTAAGTGAACGTGAACAGTAGGGAGAAAGTGTTTATTAGAAGTGGTATTATTTAATTTTAACATAAAGGCATGTTGTGTGTCACCGCAGTTAAATCGGTGTCTATCATGATAAAACCTTAATATCAAACCTATATAATGAGTTTGGAAATTTTAGAGAAATGTTTAATAAATGCACTACACTGTAACTAAACCCATTAGATTTTAGCCGACTAAATTTACTGTAGATTTAGTCGACTAAAATCTTATGATATTTAGTCGACTAAAACTAGACTAAAACTAAAACCAATTCAGATGACTAAAATATGACTAAAACTAAATGACATTTTAGTCAAAAGACTATGACTAAAACTAAATCAAAATTTGCTGTCAAAATGAACACTCTTTGAAACACAAATGAAGATACTTTTAATGAAACCTGAGAGATTTTTGTGCCTACGCTCAATTTATTTAAACAAATGTTCATGATAAAAAAAAAACTTTGTAAAAACAGCCATTTGTGGGAAAAAAAACATTAGAAAAGACATTATTTATAAATTTCAGGTCCTCTTTTTGTATGCTATTTGTAGAAAGAGCCACATGATAAAAGCAATTATATAAACAGCATATTCTACTACACTGTATATACTGCACATTATGGTACAGCTATGTCCTTTGGAGTGTTATTCTCTCTTTTAGATTTTTAGTTTTAGAATTTGTGTGTAAAGCCGGGCACATACTGTGAAATTTCAGCAACACAACAACTCTCACTGTGCGAGTAAATCACATGCAACGTCAAGCCAAAGCTCAAGATTTATGTTCTCACACTATACAGTCGGATCATCGAGCTGCGTCTTGACTGCTCACACTAAACGGGCGAAATAAACACGTGGACCCTCCGAACCCGGAACCGTGTAGCCTCCATCACTTTGATCCAAACCACACGATATGTCGCCATGGTTTTGTTTCTGTTTTCACGCAGGCGCATTGAGGGAAAAAACACTGAATTTAGGGCAGTGAGTTCGTAGCTCTGCTTCAACTATGCGATACCCTCACGAGGGGCGATCAAAATTTCTGACATGCCAGAAATTCATCCGACCATCCGATTGCCATACACTGCACATCAAAACACACACAACAAAGCTGAAATTCAGTCTTTGACTCAAAAAAGAGGTGCAAGATTCAGAATTCGGCTCTAAATTGTATGACAATTTTACTGTGTTTGCCCGGCCTAAAAGAGATGCATGCATGATGATTCTCAGCCGAAAGCAGAGAGAGTGGATTAACGCTTGGAGGTCTTACGTAAGCACAGTCTGGTAATCCTCTCTGAATCTGATGACACACCAGATCATGCTGGGTAAATTTAAGGCACAGGTAAACCTTTTGAGTGCCGTGGGATGCATGTGTACTCTAGCTCCATGGTGATCTATGACATGCACACTTTTCCTGACATCATTAGTAGCCATATCTAGGGACCAATTGAGAGCAGTAAGCAATCATCTTGTAGCACTTTAGCAACCATCCAGGACACCCTAGAAACTGCATAACAATATGATAAAAACTACCCAGAATACCCGAGAAACTGCGTAGCTATGCCTTGGCAACCTTTCACAATACTCTAGCTGCGTCTGTTTATTCAGAAGCAGTTGAACTTTAAGACTTGAAGAGCTTTCTTGCCTTCATTCATGTTTAAAGTTTGATGGTTCATTCTCTGCCCTAGTGAAAGGGGGAAAGCGAGCGTTCTGCTGTTCTGTGACCTGAGTACCCCCTCCTCTCCCCATACCCTCATCCCAAAGTCCTCCTTTCTATCACAAAGACTGTGAGTAAAACTCCAGCACTGTAACAAGTCCAATTCTCAACTGATCCGCATGCATCTGATTTAATGAAACCGTGATAGTTGCATCATTCTGACCGTTTGCCAGTTTAACTAATAGCCTGACTGGTAGTCGAGTGCTTTCTCCTCCTCCAGCTCAAGTTATAACCCTGAGCCTGTGAAATAAAGATTGGCTGTCTAACACAAATGATAGGTTTGTTTCAAACTGTAGTGTGCTACACCTGTGGTCCTCAGAATTCAAGTATAAGTGTTCTGTTGTTACTGCATGCTCTAGCAAATGGGGTGGATCATTTGGCAATTCCAGACAGAATGCTCATACTAGCAATATATACAGTATAGGGCTGCACGATAAATCGCATGCGATATTTAACGCGCATCTTGTCAGTAAAGCCGGTTCTGTAATCAGCGGTAAATCTCCATCACCTGCGTGCTTTCACATTGAGCAGCATTAACTACACAGAGCCGTTGTTCACTGACGAGCTGCGCAAAACCACGTTCATATTCGCGCGATTTTTTGCGCAGCTCGTCAGTGAACAACGGCGAACATTCCTAGTTTGGAACAACACAAGGGTGAGTAATTAATGACAGAATTTTCATTTTTGGGTGAACTAACGGTTTCTTCACCTCACTCTTCTCTCCTCATTGCCTCCTCTCCATTCTCTCCTCCTCACTGTCTCCTCTCCTCCTCACTGTCTCCTTTACTCTCCTCACTGTCTATTTTCTTCTTCTCACTGTCTCCTTTACTCTCCTCACTGTCTCCTCTCCTCCTCACTGTCTGTTTTCTTCTTCTCACTGTCTCCTTTACTCTCCACACTGTCTCCTCTCTTCTCCTCTCCTCCTCACTGTCTATTCTCTTCTCCTCACTGTCTCCTTTACTCTCCTCACCTCACTGTATATTTTCTTCTCTTCTCCTCTCCTCTCCTCTCATCCTCACTGTCTATTCTCTTCTCCCCACTGTCTCCTCTCCTCTCCTCTCCTCTCCTCATTGTCTATTCTTTTCTCCTCACTTTCTCCTTCCTCACTGTCTGTTTTCTTCTTCTCACTGTCTCCTTTACTCTCCACACTGTCTCCTCTCTTCTCCTCTCCTCCTCACTGTCTATTCTCTTCTCCTCACTGTCTCCTTTACTCTCCTCACTATCTCATCTCCCTTATCTTTTCCTCACTGTTTCTTCACCTCCCTCTTCTCTCCTCATTGCCTCCTCTCCCTTCTCTCCTCCTCACTGTCTCCTTTCCTCCCCCCACTGTCTCCTCTCCTCTCTTCTCCTCTCCTCCTCACTGTCTCCTTTCCTCCCCCCACTGTCTCCTCTCCTCTCTTCTCCTCTCCTCCTCACTGTCTCCTTTCCTCCCCCCACTGTCTCCTCTCCTCTCTTCTCCTCTCCTCCTCACTGTCTCCTTTCCTCCCCCCACTGTCTCCTCTCCTCTCTTCTCCTCTCCTCCTCACTGTCTCCTTTACTCTCCTCACTATCTCATCTCCCTTATCTTTTCCTCACTGTTTCTTCACCTCCCTCTTCTCTCCTCATTGCCTCCTCTCCCTTCTCTCCTCCTCACTGTCTCCTTTACGCTCCTCACTGTCTCCTCTCTTCTCCTCACTGTCTATTCTCTTATTCTCTTCTCCTCACTGTCTCCTTTACTCTCCTCACTATCTCATCTCCCTTATCTTTTCCTCACTGTTTCTTCACCTCACTCTTCTCTCCTCATTCCCTCCTCTCCCTTCTCTCCTCCTCACTCTCTAC